TATTTATGTTCTCAAAAAATTTTCCATAATTAATTGTAAGTAATTATAAAATATTTTATTACATTTCTTCAAATTTGTAAATAATTTTTTATAGTATAATGTCTGAATGTATTTCAATCATTTTGTAACGTGTTGACGGACTTTACTTAAGTTTTAGATTAAAGAAAATAAATATACTATTACGTTTATAACTCCTATTATACAATTTTACTATTACAACCCAGGGATCATTCTAATAAAACTTATTCATACCATTAAAAATTTACTGATTTTATAAAACTTTTACACAACTAGTAGCTTTTCAATAAAATAGGATTGAAGATGCCGAGCGGCAAATTCACTCGTTACGCTCTCCTAATACTTCGCGAATAGGAAAGCGACTTTAATTATTAAATAATTTTGGCAGGTATGTTCCTCATAAGGATCTCTATCACTTAGGAACTAAAAATCCCCTAAATTTTATATTTTATATGTTCATATAGGAATACGTAAATGGACGCATGTGTATGTCTACACATACACGCCCACCAACTAATGCGCGTTCTTACGCAGCGTGGAGATGCTCAGGATCATTAAGGATCATCACAAGGGACTCTTCCAGCCGTCTACCATCTTTCAGGGGGAGCCACCCAAGACCACTTTACCCAGGAGGAAAGGGATAACTATTTTGAGTGACGAGGTGCTCCTAGATTTTAAAGTGATTTTGGTGATCCCCAAAAACTCACAATAGTTTTTCAGTTATTTTTCCCCAGTGACATTTTTTTTTAAGACTATTTCATTTTGTCGACCTCTCTTCTAGAATTTTTTTTGTTTTCTTCGCAACCATGAGCAATCTTAAGGCTCCAACGGTAAGTATTTAATTGTTTTTTCTTTCCTTTTTCTTTTTTTTCTCTCCGTTTTTCCATTTATATGGTATTTTCCATGCCGAGCGGATTGTGCTGAGAAGTTCATCTGTATTCTTCAGATACTTTTCTAAGACTAACAAAAATGTTCTCAAACATTACTCACAGTAAAAACAACCAATCTCTCTTCTTTGTTCATATTTACAGATGTCTGCAGTATGTAGCATAATATTAAATGAATCAAAGGGTCCTTTGACTGACCCAAGTACTTAAGGTTATATAATAAAAAGAGTAATAAAATGAAGAGGAATAGTTTGGAGTCCTTACAGATGTGTATTAAAAATATATTTATATATTTTATAAATATATGTTTATATTTCCTAAACTTAAAACTAAGTTGTTAATAAATAAAGAATGAATTGAGATTCATTTTTGTTCAGAGAATCAACAGATACTATAATAATTTATTATTAAATTCTATTTAAATGTAATTGTTCAACAAATTATAGTTAACGTAAAAATTTCATAAATAAAGTATTTAAATAAAGGAACATTTTCATAATTTATTTTTTTTATCAATTTAGAAAAAAATTTTTTTTTAATTTGTTTGTATAGTTTATTGAACGTTTCAAACTTTGTCAAGTTTTTAATCAATCGAAGTCGATAATCACATAGATAATAAATGTATATCGATGAAATTCGATACATGACCATAATCTTCTAAAAAGTTTGTGCCATTAATTTATGGAAAAAATTATAGGAGTGACCTTATCTAATTAACATATGCAAGATTAAAATTGATCATATTTTAATTTGTTTTATAAAGTAAGTATTAATTTATTCTTTACTTTTATATATTGATAAATCTCAAATAATATCTTTAGATGTAAAAGATAATGAAACGTTACAAAATGTGACAAGTACATAATCAAAAAGGGGTTACGTCCGACTTTTTATGAATGTTTAACTAAATAAAAAGGCGCGAAAAATTAGGATTGAAATTTTTCCTACTGCAGTATTTAAAATTTATGAGATACGTTGGAAGCGCTCGGTATGAACTTGGCCCAGGAGGCGCGGACGTAAGTTAAACTCAGATAGAGGACAGAATTCCTCTATCTTTTAATTTTTATTTCTAATTTAGGGATCGTTCAGGACTCTATCCTTCTGACCCTTTCTGCTGAGTGACTTTTCCTCGAATAGCGGGAAAATTGTGCACCTTACCTTTTTGTAGATAGATATCCTACACAGCTACGACTGATGATGAAAGGTTTGAACCTGCAGGTTGTCGGGATGTTGTCCAGAGAGGCACTATCAATGAACTGTACCACGGGTTCTGTTTCTTTTTGATATTTATTTACGTTCGGATTACACCCAAATTATTTCACTTTAATGACAGTTGTTTTCGTAATATATCTATATATTTAGCCACAAACTAAACTTCGATTTGAAATTAACTGCTCGTTCGACGTCGTTGAGCTAACTGACGTCATAAATTCTCGCGACGCTAAGTACGCGGGCCGTCTTGACTAATCTCTGGTCAGTGACAAAAAGCCTCGATAAAAATTGTTTAGTCTACAGGTAGACTCGGTACTTGGTCTAAGTCGCCGAGGGTTTCCAAGAAGACCGGAACGATAAAGCATCGTAAGCGCTTCCGATTTCAGCGTTTTATTTAAAAAGTACTTACAATGAAATTCCTTTTATTTAAATATAGCCTCTATTTGTAAGGTAGCAAAAATAAAGACCTGTTTCTCAGCTTAGTCAGCTTGAGAACCTAAAATTTAAACAAAACGAATTTTTCCATTAAGCAAGGGCTTCGGGTTTCTGCATGGGAAATGAATTCTCTCATGAGGAAGCGTGAGACTCAATTTCCGTCAAATACAAAAATTATTTTGTCAGCGTATCGGTAAATTAAGTATGCGTTTATTTTTGGTTTACTAAAAATAAAGCCAAATATATATATATGAGAGAGGAAAAAAAAAGAAAAGAAAAATTGTAACCATAAAGTCGGACATAACAAAGAAAAATACAGTGAAATACATAATTAAAATTTAAAACGTTAAACAAAAAAAAATAAATATCAATAAATAAATTAATTAATAATCATAACAAAAACCATTAATTAATTATTTAGCACAATTCTTGTTCTGTTACTGATAATTTTAATAAATTAAGTTCCCACTAAATTAGATAATTTACAATTAACAGTGACATGTTAGAATCAGCTCTAGACATTTTTAAACAACAATAAGCTTCAATAAAATTTCTTATACCAGTAATATTCTCGACTTTCTGGTGTTTTTTAGATTTCTTCTGAAACTCTCCTATCAATTCTTTGATTGTCTGTCTGATTTTACCAAAATTAAGACATGAATTTTGAGCATAAAATTCGTCATATCTAAACTTAATGTTGACATTAAGCACTTCTTTTATTAATTCTTTGAAAAATGAATGTGGATTTACAACCAAATAATCCGCATAATATTCATGAATTTCTTTGATCACTCCTTCCTCATCGCTATCAGCTAATAATTTAATGTCAGTTTTGGCAATCATGTTGCTTCAATAGATATAATATGATCCATACTTGGGATTTCTTAACTCATTACAAAACAAATAAACATTTTCTTTAGTATTTCTTATAAAAATAATGCATTTTAAATATTCTAGATCGTTACTTTGTATTGGAGTATCAATTTTCTTGAATAAATAAACTTCTTTTATTGGAATTTCCACCATCAAGTCATCCCCCTACACATAACATGTTTTTTATGAATTTGTATTTAAACAAAATGATATTTTTATTACAAGATTACAATATTCATTTTTTACTGCTAAATCAAGGGTTATGCTATCAGTTATATACCTTTGTTTACAAATTTACATTATAAATTTTCCATCGATTTATGTTTATTCATAATTGTTGTTATGTATATTAATAACAGTTGATGATGTAATTATTGACTATTGGAATTATAAATAAAATCAAATAATTAAGACAATTTATATCACATATTTATTGATACTAATGTAATAAATTTGTTAATTTTTGTTGCAGGTATATACTGTTATAATATATTTCCAGGTATAATACTACGGAATACTTGTATCATACCGATATTGAGAATTGCGAAAATAAGCAATAGCGAAATTAAGAATTTAAGAAAATAAGAATTTAATTTAATCGCGGCCTGATTAAATTAAAAAGAACATAAGAAAGTATCAAAAATCAATTTGAATTATTTTATAATAAATTTATTTTATCAGCATTTTTTTAACAGTCATAATCATAACATTATTTACGAATTAAGAACAAAATAACAATAAAATAAAGAAAAAAGGAAAATAAGAACAAAAGTCATTCTTGTGAAAAAAATCAAACTTTACTGAGCAATACTCTCAGTTAATACATTGTTCAAAATAATTATCATTAAAAATATTACAGTTTAATTATTTGTGCCAATAATTTTTGACATTGTATCATACTATTTGTCTAATAATTTTTATCATATAATTAAATAACAATTTCCATAATATGTTTTAGCAATATTTATTTGACTTTAATTCTCTTTTTACCATTTATTAAAAAAGTATATTTCAGAGTCTTGATTCAAATCCCTCTTTAAAACCTGATAAGTTGTTGTGGTTTTCAATATAATTAATACTTTGATTATTTGTACAACACGTAATTTTTCTTATTTTATTATAAAATGCCACGAAAAAAAATAATTCATTCACCTGCTGAAGAAGAAGAATATAAAAACAATCAACGTGCAAAGCGTAATAAATATCAAAAAGAATACCGGAATAAGAAAAAAGTAGCTAAACAATATTATGCCATTGACATAATACTGATGCTTCTCTATGTAGTAGTACAACATTAAATTTAAACGTCCCTCAAGCATTAACATTAAATAATTCGGAAATAAGTGATTTACCATCAACATCTAATGGCACTATCAATGGAATTAGTTATCCAGAGTTAATGAACTTACCATGCCAATCTGATGAAATTTCTGAATCAAATGATGATCAACGAAATCAAAATAACAATTCAAACCCATAAATCAAAATTATAATTCTAGCAATAAAACAATTAATAATAGATCAGTAGATTCATTTATTAATGAGAGTTCTATAAAGGAACATTACATAGGTCCAATGAATATACTATGTAAATACTGTAAAGCACGACATTTTTCATCTATACAAGTTGCTAATAAAAAATTTTCTTTTAATGATTGTTGTAATCATGGTGAAGCTATTCTTGATGAATTACTAGCTTTACCACCAATTTTGCAAAAGCTCTATGATGGTACTCACTTGAAATCTAATCAATTTTATAGTCGAATACGATACTATAATAGTTCGTTTTCATTTGCTTCATTGAATGCAGATTTAATTCGATTTGATGAAAATCGTCCAGGACCTTTTTGTTTTAAAATACAAGGGCAAATTATCATCAATATAATACAGTATTATATCCTACAACAGGTGAATTACCAACGAACGGACAATTATTTATTATTGATGCTAATGAAGCATCGCTTTTGCGTTGTGAACAAAATGATAAATTAGATTTAGAAATAGTAAATGATATTGAAACTGAGTTACGACAATTTAACATCATCGCTTGTTCTTATCAAATGATGAAAGATGTATTAGAAGAAGAGAAAATAAAAAACAATGATGTTGAACCTGAATTACAGTTGTTATTTACTTTGAAACCTGGAATGGATTGTAATCGTTATAATTTTCAACGAATAAATGAAGTTGCTGCTGTTTTTTCAACAACAGCTGATGGAGATATTCCTGAATCATACGTAACTGTAAAAAATACAAACACCAAACAAATAATGAACATTAATACAACGGATCCCAATGTAGAACCTTTAGTATACCCATTATTTTATCCGCATGGTACAAAAGATTGGCACAAAGATATATCATGTGTTAATAAAAATAAAAGTATCACTCGCAATGCTTATATTAAGTATCGATTAGCTATACGTAATGATTTTAATAAATTTTTATTAGGTCGGAGATTATTTCAACAATGGGTCGTTGACAGCTATGTTAAAATAGAAAAGGATAGAATACGTTATTGTAAAAATAATCAAAAACAGTTGCGTGTTGAGACATATCAAGGGTTGATTGATTATTCACATAAAAAAAGTAATGATACTAATAGTCAAATCGGAAAAATGATAATACTTCCATCATCCTTTATTAATTCACCACGAAGTATGTTACAGTATATCAAGATTCTATGGCTATTGTTAGAAAATATGGAAAACCTGATATTTTTCTTACCATGACTTGCAATCAAAAATGGCTTGAGATTGAAGAAAATTTACTACCTGGACAAACGGCAGCTGATAGACCTGATCTTGTAGCTCGAATATTTTATTTGAAAAAAAAAGAATTGATACACTTAATTGTTAATAAGAAATTTTTCGGTGATGTTGAAGCTTATGTGGATGTAATTGAATTCCAAAAACGCGGTTTACCACATATGCATATGTTAATTACATTGAAAAAATATTGTAAAATAAATACATCTGTATTAGTAGACAAATATATTTCAGCAGAAATCCCTGATCCAACTATAAATCCTAAGTTGCATAATATTGTTATGAATAATATGATACACGGTCCTTGTGGTGATTGGTGCCTGGTCAATAGTAAGTGTTCGAAAAAATATCCGAAATCATTTGTCGAAAAAACAGCAATGGATGAGAATGGCTATCCGCATTATAGACGAAAAAATACAAATATACAATACATCAAAAGATTAAAATCTTACGATTTTTCAGTTAATAACAGTCTTGTTGTACCTCATAATCAAAGATTGTTACTGTTATTCAATTGTCATATAAATATTGGAATTGTATCCAGTATTAGAGCAGTTAAATATTCATATAAATATATTTATAAGGGTCATGATGCAGCTGCTTTCAATATTTCAAATTCTGAAAACATTATCAACCATGATGAAATTAAAGATTATTTAGAAGGACGCTATGTAGGACCTGTAGAAGCATGTTGGCGAATTTTTAACAAAGAATTGCAAAATAAAAGTCATACTGTCACACGATTACCTATACATTTACCTAATCAACAATCTATTGTAGTTCACTCAACAGAAAATGATGAAAGTATTATAAGTGCTTTAGACAAAGCAAGTATGCTTCTCGAATTTTTTGCCTTGAACTCACGAGATTCAGAAGCTTATATTATATATATTCCGAAATTACTTGCCATTATGTCTTTAAAAAAACAAATGGTTCAGAACAATCCCAATGGCATAAGCGACAAACTCAATTTAATGTTATTGGGCGTATGTATTCTATAAATCCAAAAAATACAGAATTATTTCATTTACGATTGTTGTTATTAAATATAAAAGGAGCAACAAGTTTTGATGATTTTAAAACTGTTAATGGAGTTACTTATAATACCTTTGTTGATACATGCTTAGTAATGGGACTTATTGAAGACGATGATGAATGGAAAAAGGTTATGACAGAAGCAGAATCGTGGATGATGCCACATCAATTACGTAGACTATTCGTACGTATTTTAATACATTGTCAACCACTTCATCCAGAACAATTATGGGAAACATTCAAAAACGCGACGTCAGAAGATTTTCTTAGACAATTTGGAGCAAATGTAGCTTATAAAAAAGCGTACATACAAATTAACACCTTATTAATAATAGAAGGTTCGAGTCTTAACGAATTTTCATCTATGGAACAGATTACAGACATTGAAAATTCTGATTTCGATGATATTTCTCCACAAGAACATAATAGAATTGGTCAATATCAATATAATCAATTAAATAAAAAACAAAAAGATTTTGTTGATCATGTAACGTATTCAATTGATAATGTTAATGGAGAGAATAATATATCAAGATGCTTTTTTGTTGATGGACCTGGAGGTTCAGGTAAAACATATACTTATATAACTTTATATCATTTATTGAATAGTAAGGGAAAAAATATTTGTACAATGGCATTTACAGGGATAGCCGCAACATTACTTCCACATGGTAAACTGTACATAGAACGTTTGGTATGCCAGTACCTTTATTTAGTGATGCAACATCAAATATTAAACCTCGATCAAAACAATACGAATATTTAAAAAAATGTGATCTTTTTATTTGGGATGAAGCTCCAATGGCTCCGAGATATGCATTAGAATTAGTAGATCGAACATTGCGTGATATAATGAATAATACTCAACTTTTTGGTGGAAAAATCTTGGCTCTTGGGGGTGATTTCAGACAACTACTTCCAGTATCGACAAATGCACCTCGAAGTGAAGTAGTTAACTTATCCATAAAATTTAGTTCATTATAGCAATATTTCAAAAAATTTCATCTAACAACAAATATGCGAGCATTAGCAAATGAAGTTGAATTATCTTAACTTTTATTATCAGTAGCTAATGGAACGCTTAATGATAGTAATGATTATTTAACTGTTCCAGACGATTGTATAGCTGATGAACATTGCAATATGTTGACAATTTGTATGGTCCAACAATAGAAATGAAACTTTTGATGATTTTACAAAATTAGCTATACTTGCTCCTCGCAATACTGATGTGGATGAAATAAATAATGATGTTGTTAATTTACTTGATGCAACCACAGCAAAAATATATAAAAGTATTGATTCTATTGATCAATGTGATAATAGTGATATAAATGATGCTATTGTGCCAGAATATGTAAATAGTCTGAATCCACCTAATTTCCACCTCATGAATTTCGATTAAGATTAAATACGGTTGTAATGCTCGTTAGAAACTCAAGTATTAATGAAGGCTTATGTAATGGTACTCGATTGTTGATTATAGATCTGGGAAATAATGTACTAAAGTGTAAAATTTTAACGGGTGACAGAATTGAAAATATATTTTTCAATCGTATTACACTGTATTACGAATATTCAGAAGTATTCATCGTTAAACGTAGGCAATATGCGATTAGATTAGCATTTGCGATGACAATAAATAAAGCTCAGGGTCAGACATTTGACAAAATTGCTATAGATTTACGTAAGATGTATTTACCATGGACAATTATACGTTGCTATGTCACGGGTAAGGTCTATAGATTCGATAAAGATTTACTCAGATAATCAGAGAAGAGATAATTTAATTAAGAATTATGTGTATAAGAGTTATTTAGAATGTTGGAAATTGAAATATTACAACATTTTTAATCTTGATCTTAGGAACAATTCCGATTATATGATTATACAATATGGAAGAATTCTTTACTTATTAAAAAAAAGCAAATTTTTCTTTAAATATAATCACGATTAAGTACTCAAAAATTGCATACCCTGGCATCGAATCCATTTTAAAACAATGAAAAAACCACTTAAGAATTCGGCGTATCGTGGCGAGTATCAGACGTGAACATCACACTTTGAATACGGCCGTGTTACTGATCCTAAAGGAGAGTACACAGGCAAAATAAGATCGCTAATGGCCATGAAAAAAGTCATTAGCAAAGCGGTACAAGCGACGAAGGGACAACAGATTGTTCCAATCTGACCCTTCGCGCTTTCTTAAGCCGCAAGCCCCTGTCACTTATGAGCCCCGAGTGCAGAAAGAGTCGAAACATACTGGACCGGAAATATATAGTCGCGCTAGTTCGCTAGATGTAGACACTCCAGCCTTCAACTTTTCAGAGAATTCTGTGACGAACATCTATCACGAATTCCTGAGGAGTTTCAACGAGTCAGCATGGATGAGATCAGGAATGCTCTAAGGGCACAAGAACTGGGCTACCCCTGGGCCAGATGCAATCCCCACCTGTGTACATTATACAGAATTATGCTTCATTTTGTTCTTGAGGTAAAAAAATATATTATAACGATCCGGGAAAAATAAAATAGATCGCATTGGTCTACTGAGATCTTTTTTTGGCAGAATTAGATCTACTTTGTTTTGTGTACATTGTTTCGATCACTCTAGATCTTCTATGATCTCTGTAGATGTATTAATTTTTCTATATCACCGAGATCAATGGAGATCTCCATAGATATGCAGTAATTTGTGCGAGATACAACAGTGATCTCACTAGATATACATAGATTTACTTAGAATCAAATTTTCTTCAGTTTTTCAGATATAAGTAGATCAAATTAGATCTAAAAAATTGCGAGAATATAGATCTGTATAGATCCATTTTATTTTTTTCCGGAAAAAAATTAATAAAATCTGAATATTTTCAACTTTATAAATTATCACTAAACGTAATGATAAAGTGCTTCTTTTTCAGCTACAATAGGCTCTCGCGAATATAATATTATAAATCTTTACATAAAAGGTTGATCAATAGTTATATTTGCATTGTCATTGTTATCTTTTAGAAATCAATTTGGACAATCATAGTGTTCACCTAGACATTAATTACTTAAAAAAATGAAGAGCGTATTTATACACGGAGTAAAAATTCCAATAGAGAATATTTAAAACTTCAGAACAATTATTGTGCGGCACGGTAACTGGACGTAAGATGTCACTCTTAGACAATCTATCGGTCAGCGGTAGAAAAATTACTGTGCTGGCACGGTAAATTTTACTAACTTGATCTCTAATTTTTATTTAATTTAAATATAAGAATTATTTTGCTAACAATAAATTTCGTTCACATTATTTACGATTTCCCTTATGTTCCAACTGTAATTTCTAATAATAATAGTATATTAGTAATATTAAAAAGTAATGGTAAAGTATGACCGCTTTACGACGCACTTGTATAAACATGGGCGCGCATGCGTTGAACCTTTGTCATCACAAAGCTGTATGATGATTGTAAAAAACTTTCTCTATCTTAGCTCCTCGTACAAGAAGAAGAAGGTTTATCTTTCGTTCGTCAGGAGAGAATGGGAGAGAACGCCTAGCTCCAACACCGCCTAGATGGCTCACACATCTCCAGCCCCCACATAGAATACATGGCTCTCAGATGCATCGCAGTTAGCCATGGCTGCATGCATTTATCTCAAAGTTCAAAACTCAAACAAATCAGCTCAGATCCAGCTCTTGTGTGCTAGAATTAAGGTAGCCACCATTAAAAAACCAGTCACTATTTCTAGGCCCCGAACTAACTGCTGCTTGGATGCTCTTAAAGCTCGTGAAACATGTTCAATAAGTGCTCGGATAGCTCAAGCTCCTATCTATCTATGGACTGATTTATCTGTAGCACCAACCTGGATTCTCAATTATTCCATCCAAGTGGATAGACTTTGTGCGCAACAGAGTTTTATCTATCTAAGAGCTTAATCCAATCGCTAACGGCTCTACGTCCCTGAAAACAAAATCCAGCGGATTGTGCCTCTCGTGGCCTACTCGAAACCATAAACTGACTTCAAGCTCGGTGGAGAGGACCTGAGTAGCTCATAGGCTCATTTTCTTCTTGGCCAGCTTAATAGTTTAAAACCTTCAGCTTTTGCTCACATAGAAAAAGATCAGGCGTCTTATTGCACGCAGCTAAAGCTCCATCTGAAGAAAATCATCCATTGTGGTTCCTTCTATCACAAGCTCTCCGGATTACTGCTCTTTGTCTACGCTTCGTCGCCTTGTCAGAGGAAAAAACCACCAGCTCGTTTAGCTCACAATCCTATAGCTCCACAAAACCAGCTTGATGCTCAGCTCCATCCGGGTGAAGATCATCCAAAGACTTCACTTTCCATTTGAATCAAAGCTCTGCGAGATGGTCTTCAATTACCATCATCGCATTTTGTCTCTAAGCTCGCAGCTTTCGCTGATCAAGAAGTATACTTCGTGTTGTGGTCGCCTAACAAACTCTGAGCTCGAAGAAGATGGAATCCATCCGATTATACTCCAGGAGAATCCTACTTTTCACAGCTCGTTATTGATCAAGCTCATCGACGAACGCTCCATGGAGGAACTCAATTACTCTCATTCATGTTCGAGAAAGTTTTGGATCCTAGGAGGAAGAGCTCCTATTTGCTCATTTATCCTGCGATGCGTGATCTGTGCTCGATATCGTGTTCGACGTGCTTAACAGCTCATGGGCCAGCTCCCAGCTGATCGTGTAGTACCGGTTCGACCATTTCACACTATTGGAGTAGATTTTTTTGTAGTATTATAGGGCAAAATTATCACTTACTTTGTTAATGTATAATTAGAAAACAAAAAAAAATATCAATTATTTAATAATCATTCCTATCGAAATAAAATTATCTAATTACCGTATAATTGATAATTTTATTTTTAAAAAATTATCCATTGATAATTTAATTTGTAATTTTAATGGATCCAATTACAACTTAATAAAGTAATTTGCTATTTTATAGATCAAATTACACAATTACTTTTTGTAATTTGATACTTTTTTGGGAATTACAAATTACATGAGGAATTTGACATTTTTTTTGCCAATATTACTACAATACAAAAAGTTTTTTTGAATTGTATTTAATAATTTAAATTTCTACATTAATAATTAGTAATTTTACTACGAATAATTAAAATTTTATTTATTTTGTGATGAAAGCATCACGTCTCATACCTAAGACAAAAAAAAATGTTTTAATATGTATACAACGATTGCACACTTATTGGTTCAATAATAAATTATGTGCTTTAACGTTCACACCATATATTTTGACCATAACACATGTGTTTTTATACCAACTTATTTATGTTTTACTGTTCGTCACGATGTTTTAACTTTGAATCAACAATTAAACGTTCTAAACTTACGTTCTAAGATTAAATATGTGTTCTAACGATCTTTTTAAGTTTCAATGACAAAAATATGTTCCAACTTTATATTATTTTGTTCACCGTTTCCACATATGTTCTTATGATGAAATATTTGTTCTAATGAACTTATTTATGTTTCAAAATGGGACGAATCTGGGTTCTAATGTTTCCCTACATCTATTCCAATAAACTAGAATATGTTCCACACCGTTATATTATGTATTTTTCACGTTTCACTTATGTTCTTATGATGGACTATGTGTTCTAACGATTTTTTTTAAGTTCCATGGACGAATATGGGTTTTTAATGTTCCAGATTCATATTATTACATAAACTAGAAATGTTTTCAACGTATATTATTGTATTCTAACGTTTCGACTTACGTTCTAATGAGTACATATGTGTTCTACTCTCTCGTGTACGTTGTGATTAATCAGAGATATTCGCTCATGCTGTATAAAAAAGTGAGCTATGCTCGAACTCGGAACGACTATTCTTTTCTCTAGAATTTTTAGATGGATTATTGTAGTAAGTTCAAACAGCTCTCCTGTAGTCTGAATGTTAATAAACTTTTAATTAAAGTAGATTAAATGTCCTTGAAATAGCTTATACTCATGTATGCTTATTGGAAGAGTAGAATTTTACATGAGAAGAACAGAAGTAGCATAGTTTTATCGATTTAGCTATCACTCAAGTCGCTGTGAAACGAGAGTGACTTTTTGAAAATCGTTACGGTTTTTTTCTGAGTACAAACAAAAACGTTGACTTCTCCGCCACCAGATGATTACCTGAGTAGCGTTGTGGGCTATTTGCCATCATCTGTAAAAAGGCCCCCCGGAACCTTACTAGTAGAAGTCAACTTCCACGACATGAACGTAATGTGAGCCCATGGTGTAATTAACGTTATAGGGGACTATCTAGTTGCTCGTTAAACTACTGTGGTGTCTATAGTGAACTTTCTTTTTACCCTAGCTTTAAGAAAAGCAACAAAAAATGAATTAGATCATCTTCCCAAAGTGGATTGTTTAAA